TGAAAAGGAAAAAAGGTGTAGCTTGAGCACATCATCGTCAAAACTCTAGATTTTTATTGTTCTGCACACCTCTGCAAAGTCATCCAAGTGCTGGTATGGATCCTCTTTTAATAGGCCGTAAAAAGAAGGCGGTAACTGAAGAGTACTGGCCTTAGTTTCGTAGTGAGGGGCCCTCACTTGAGGATACCGAACTACAGATGAAGAATTATATGCACCTAGTTCGTAGTGATCCTTTAAACAGCGAACTGCTTCTGCAGCTGGTGGATCATCCGCCATCTTTTCTTTTTTAAGGCCTCCAAAATCTTTCTTCAAGTTTCTGAGAGTCCTTTCAATTTCTGGGTCTAACGGAAGTTGAGGGAGTGACAAAGAATGTCTTCCAAGCATATAATGTCACCTGCAGTAATTAAAAGAAAACAGTCTCAAAGTAAAATAAAGAAAATAAAATAAAATAAAATCCTAAACTAAGATCCTAATTGAAATTAATTGTAGAATTTAATATTATCTGTCAAGAACTAAAACCCGTGCCAAAAACTTGTTGTGAGATTTATATGTACCACTCGTAAGTGAACGAATCTTTGCATATAGGGTTTAATTGTAAGGGTGTCGTACCCAAGGGACTTGCGTAAAATAAGTTTGTCAACAAATTTCTTAAATTCTAAATTAACTTGAAAATATGATAATCGAATTATGATGATTAATTCTAAATTAACTAAATAGAAAATAAAATAAATTAAAGAACAATGATTAAATATGATGTAGAAAATAGAGAGAGATGACTAGGGGTATGATTTCACCACTAATGTCGCACCACTAGTCAATTGCATTAATTTATTAGAAATATATCATATAACATACATAGGAAATTAATTATGGCTACAAGCACATATTAATTCAGCTAGAAAATAATATAATTTAAAGTTAAGCATGGACTATCTTCGATTAGTATAAACCATCTACCTAACTACTTTACTCTAGAGTGTAGCATGGTCTATCTTTTCTAGGCATAATCCATCAAATCTCTAACATTATATTCAGAGAAATACCATTGTGTAATCATCTCATTCACAACTACAAGAAGCGAATGAATTGTGTTCAATCACAAGATTAAAATATCTAAGACAAGATAGAAAAATATTTGTAATTGAATTAAAACTCTAAAACCGATTCTTATTAAAAATTCAATCAAAAACCCTATAGATTACACAATCATGCATGATAAAAATTGTTCTCCAATAATTAAATACAATCAAACCAGTGTGCTAAGTTAGGGCTACATCACAACCCTAGCAAAGCGTTTAGCCAAGCATAACTAGAGTGGAATTCTTCATGGTTGAGGAAGACATCTTCACCGCCATGGATCTATCTCTTCTTTCTTCTGAATGCTCCTCTTTGATCTCAGCCTCAAGCTCCTCTGTATGATTTCTCACTGTTATAGAGGACCCCCTTTAAATAATAAAAGATCAGCCCTAAAGTTCCCTTTTTCATATAGGAGACATACATAGAAATTTTGGCAAATAAGGATTCCAAAATTCGTACAGACTTCTAGGCCAATTTTGACATGGTAAACAGCTGTTTTAGAGAATTCTCGTGAAATACAAAATTGTAGCTCTTCGAATTTCCTTTCAACCAATGCAAGAATTTAGCCGTTTTAACACTCGATGAGAGAGATACAGCCAGATTACCAAAACGGATTCAAGCTACCAACTTTGGCGAAAGTTTCCTTTTTGGAGAAGGAGTTTTCCTTTTCTTCCTCTTTCCATTCTTATCAACTTGTGGCTTCTTTTGGACTATTTTCTACGTATAATTAGACTTGGATCTTCAATATTGCTCAGTCCTAGGAATGTCATCTTTTAAAGCTCAGAATCACTGGTCTTAACTGATTTTACAATTAAAGCCCTGAAATAAATAAAAACAGTAAAACAATGTAAAATCTAAAATAAACTACTACAAATTGAATAAGACATGCAAGTTAAGGGACTAAAATGTGTAACATTCAGCACCTAACAATTTTAAATCAATTCAACAACTGAACAAAATAGACTACTAGTACGCAAAACAGGCTACTAGTACGCTCTAGGTATCTGGAATTGAAATTCATATTTTATAATTTACCAAATCATCCACCGCTGACTCTTGAATGGTTTGCAAACTTCATACGCCTGTAATCGCAAAAAAATCAGGAGAAACTATAAATCAACTATTGAATTGGAATTTTGACAATTCCCCTGTTTGGTTTTTAGTTCTGGAATTCATTTTGAATTGTTCCGGAATTCCAGATCAATTGTTTGGACTTTTTAACGTGTTTGGAATTAAATTATTATCCCAAACATAAATTTAGGGCTCAATGGTGCTGTTATCGTCGACAAAGCAAAGACTTTGCATTAAAATACTGTCGAAAGGACATAATCAGTGTCAAAAGGACAAGACCAACGCATGAGGCACTTGTTATTATGAGATTTATGAAGGGCAAAATATACACAATCTTACCTTCACAGCCTCAAAACGATGGAAAACATAGCTTCCCAATTGATATTATTTCACTTTCTTATTCATCTTTATTTCTTATATAAGGTACAAACAACTGGTGGAGATGCTTACGACCAAAAAGGTATGTAATTGTTCTGGATGATGTATGAAGCAGCGACCTTTGGAAGGACATAAAATGTTCACTTCCAGATGAAGGACTTGAAAGTCGTGTCTTGCGTACAACTCAGAAAGAAGATATAGCTTCGTCTTCTTTTGAAGTTAAAAGTCATATCCTCAATCTTAAACCACTGGAAAATCCTGATGCGTGGGACCTTTTTTGCATGAAAGCGTTTCCAAGCCATACCAATCATAGTTGTCCTCAAGAACTCGAGAACTTATCTCATGACCTTGTTGCAAAACGTGAAGGTTTACCCCTAGCAATTGTGACTTTGGCTGGTGTCATGTCTTCAAAAAAATCAGAAGGGGAGTGGAGGCAAGCTCCTGAAAGCTTAAATTGGATGTTGAGCAACAACATTGAGTTAGAAAGAGTGAAAAATATCTTGCTGCTCGGCTTCAATGATTTGTCTTACCGACTTAAGTGTTGCTTCTTATATTGCGGTCTTTTTCCAGAAGACTATCATATTCGACGGACGAGGATCATTAGACTTTGGATGGCAGAAGGATTTGTAGAAAAGGTTAAGAATATAACACCTGAAGAAGTAGCCGAGAGTTATCTTATGGCACTCACTAACCGACGTAAGTTTCAAGTTGTGGAAAGGAACTTTGCGGGAAGACCAAAAGTTTTTAAGATGCATAATCTTATGCGAGAGCTTGCTATATCAGTATCAGAAAAAGAAAATTTCTACACAGTACTCTATAATGGGACTAGTGACAAGAATGATCAAGAAGAGAATGGAGCGCGTCGTTTATCAATTCAATCAAATGACATAGAACTACTCAAATCATGGAAGAGTATGTCTCATCTTCGCGCTCTTTTTGTTTTTGCCTTTTAAAGCAATTTCTCCATCTTTGACTACATTGCCATCTGGCTTAAGATTGTTAAGAGTTTTAGATCTACAAGACGCACCGATTGTGAAATTACCAGATGAACTAGGTCATTTTTTCAGTTTGAGATATCTAAACTTGAAGGGAACTGAGGTGAAGGAGCTTCCGAAGTCCATTGGAAGACTCCACAATCTTCAAACCTTAAACACTACGAACTCAAAGATAGAAGTGCTTCCCGATGGGATTACCAAGTTGCAAAATTTGCGGCATTTAATTATGTACCACTACAATTATGCACATCCTCTAGACTTCGATTATGTGTATGGCATAAGAGCATCGTCAAATATTTGTAAGCTAAAAAACTTGCAAGTGTTGTCCATGGTAGAAGCAGAAACAGGGTTGTTGAAACAAGCGAGGAACATGACTCAACTCACAAGCTTTGGCATTGCGAAGGTGAGAGAAGCAGACGAGGAAGATTTGTGTATCACCATCCGAAATATGAAACTTCTTCGCAACTTAGGGGTAATGGTTAGTGATGAAGAGGAACACCTTCGAATGGATGCGCTCACCTTTGGTCCGCCATGGATTAACAGGCTAGTTTTAGCCGAAAAACTGGAGAAAGTGCCTCGCTGGTTTCCCTCACTCCAAACCCTCACATTTTTCACTACAAAAAATGTAGGCTTTTACGACATAGTATTTACGGGGCTTCTTTATTTTGCCTCGTGATTACCACCATTTACGGAGTTTTTGAAAGAATCCTCGTTATAGGACATGCTTTCATGACGTTTTAGTAAAATCCTCGTAGAAAAATATTTTTACGGTGTATTAAAGAGCTCGTGAATATTTAGATATATTTACGGCATATTTGTACACCTTTAACGGGATAAATGTTCCTCGTTGATAAAACACTCATTTAAGGCCTTTTTTTTTCCCGTAAATAAGCAATTCGCCTTGCCCACCATTTTTTATACTCACAATTAATAAAATTAGTTAAAATATATATATATATATATATATATATATATATATGAACTTAAGTTTTTTACGGTGTATTAAAAAGCCCGTGAATAAATTTCACATTTAAGGTGCCTTTTTTGCCCCGTAGATAAGTAATACTTTTTTTCTAAATAAAAATGAACTTTCACATTTAAGGCGTCTTTTTTGCCCCGTAGATAAATAATACTATTTTTTTAAATAAAAATGAACTTAAGTTCTTTTACGGTGTATTAAAAAGCCCGTGAATAAATTTCACATTTAAGGTGCCTTTTTTGCGCCGTAGATAAGTAATACTATTTTCCAAATAAAATTTTCCCCCTTTCGTACCGCTGGCGGGAAATTTAGAGCCATTTTTTTTTAAGGCACCTTTTTTTATCCCGTAGATAAGCAATACTATTTTTAGGCAAAAAAAAATTCCCCCCTCCGTTCCTCTGGCGGAAACTTAGCGCCAGATAAATGATTTTTTAAATAGAAAACATAATAAAAAATTAGTCTCACCTTATGAAATGACGTAGTTTTTGTCAATAGGCATAATATCGTGCGTCCAACGGGACTACACAACTCTGCTCTCTCTCTCTCTCTCTCTCGCGTCTAAGCCCTAGACTTCTCTCTCTGCTCTCTCTCTGCCGTCGAAGCCCGCCTTCTCTGTCTGCTCTCTCTCTCTCTCGTCTAAGCCCTAGCTTTCTCTCTCTGCTCTCTCTCTGTCGCGTCGAAGCCCTAGCTTTCTCTCTCTGCTCTCTCTCTTTAGATGAAAAAGATGCGGACAAGATGATGTTATAGATTCGATATAGTCTCCCTATTCGAGTTATCTCTCTGGTTCGCCTCTTTGTTCGAGTTCTCTCTCTGGTTTGGACACGAGAAACAACCATTTGGAGCCACAGTTTCTTCAAATTTTAGACGGCTATACACATCAATTTGGAGCAAAAAATCAAGGTTCGTCTATCTCTTTCTATATATGTATCTATTAGTTTTGATTTTTTGACTAAGAGTGTTTTATTTAATTTAATTTTTTCTTTTTGGATTTTTCTGTAGTTTTTATTTTTTATTTTTATTTTTATTTTTTATTATTATTTTTTTTAATGCAAATACATATTATAGGGTTTCAAAATTGCAAGGGAAATTGCAGATTTGGAAGAACTTAGGAACGTATCTTTGTTGTTTGATAATTATTATCAGCAAGACCTTTCAAACTATTCTTCAAATGTCGCGCAACGTTGGGACATTGGTACTGCTATTGCACGCTCTAGCTTTCGTGTTATGGCTAGCATGAATCTATCCACAGGTATCATCCAATTATGTACATAAGAACCTAGCTGAATTGATTCTTTGAACCATTTTATTATTTAATTTGTGTCTCAATTAATTTGCAGAATTTCAAATCTATGGCAAACCCTGGGAGATCTACAACAACCACAGTCAGCTCTAATATGGTACATGAACGTACTCTAATATATATATGTATATTTAGTTCTTTTGAAGTTCCTTCAGATTGAAATTAATCTCTGAATAATTAAAAGTTTTTATTATCTTCCCATGCTTATTATGGTTTCAGATCACCCATCAACTGCTGAGCAGTTGAAATGATCATGGGGAAGATATATGTATGTTTCTCTATTATTTATGTTTGTTAATTAATTTGTGCCTAAGTTTTATTTTTCTTCTTCTTTTTGGATACAATATTTTTCTTACTACTATGGTTTCTGCTATTAGTACTACTTTCATTTTGCTTTAAAAGAAAATTCAACAATGAGACTTCTAAAAATATCTTTTAATTTTTAGGAGTCTGGAAAATAAATTAATTTTTGTTAGTACACTTACCTAAACATTAGAAAAACGAATTTGATGGTAGCAGTTGAGACTTGGCATAATAACCAGGATGATGAATATTACTACAGATAGCCAAGCATGATTTATCCAGGACAATGTAATCAAAATAACATATTTTGAGAACAAAAGAAATTATGAGGACCTTTATTCTCAGTATATTTAAACCTAGTGTTACTGGTAGTACTAATGTGTAAAGAGCACATCAAAAGGATATGAGGTAATAGCCATGACTACATATAACCATATGATCACTCTCTCTATATATCTTTAACATGGATTTTAGGTTGATTTGTAAATCAACCTAATTTACACGGCATCTAGGTGAATATTTAGATCATAGATTGTTTCTAAAACATTTATATCTCATTGTATAAGTAACAAGAGTTCTAGAAACAACTTTTCTGAGATAAAATTATGAGACCGCATTGGATGAAAATATATAATAGTATTAGGGTTCACTATAAAGGAGAAATGGGAATGGTATATTACTGAGTGTTCTTCCTTTACAACCTTATATACTTGTTGAATGTTATGGATATGAATCTTTAAAAAATTCATTTGATAAAAGAAGAAATGAAGTTAAATGAGGTTGATTTGAGTGAATGCATGTCACATTCAATTTTGCATTATTGTGAGTATGATCTCAATTAATCGAAGATGTTGGGAGGAAAATGTCACTAGGTTACAAATGACACTCCCTATTTATAGATATCGGACAAGGATCCCCTCCAAGAAAGAAGAGGTCCTTATTGGTGGGTGTGCAGAACCTCTCATTTCTTGAAGAGGATCCTTATCCATAGACATCCTCCCTACCTTCTCAAATCCATCCGGTACTTCATAACTCCACATCAATCTGGAATATTCTATAACTTCAGTCATGTCATTCCGCCGGTCTAAGACATGGTAGATTCTCCATGCAACTTGACTAAGCGTGACACCATGCTTACAAAAATATGAATAAAAAAATGCAACCCAATGAGTGCTCAGGCACATGACAATGGCCAGGATTTATCAGGAAAAAGAATATGGGGATTTATGAGTTAATATCTTAAGCAAAGAGTTTAAAGCTTAATATATATTTATGAGAATCAACTAGGAGTTAATTCTTTGGGCTCACTATAAAATTTTGGTAAAAAAAATAAAATAAAGGAAAAATAAAATTTGGGGATTCTGCTATTGTTTGGGGTATAATAATATAAGGAAATAAATCTTTTAAAATATGATAATATAAGAAAATATTTTTTTTTTGGGATTCTGATATTGTTTGGGATCTAGTAATTATAAGGAAATAACATTTTTAAGAAAGTAACAATATATAAAGAATATATATATATATATATATATATTTTTGGATTATTGGTTTAGGGGACTAAGCCTTGATAATATCTGTTAAGTCCCCAATCAAGAGTGAATGTTATAATGATAACTCTGATATAGATTGAGAACAATTATTTAATAATCTCGATCATTTTATAAGCGGATGTTGAGAGAGAGAAAAATCTAAAATGTATCTTAGTCCTTTGCCATACTAATTGATATTAAAAGTTTTAATTAGCACAGATGTCTAATGTTATTTATCTAAAATGTATCTTAGTCCTTTGCAATGCTAATTGATATTAAAAGTTTTAATTAGCACAGATGTCTAATGTTATTTATCTAAAATGTATCTTAGTCCTTTGCCATGCTAATTGATATTAAAAGTTTTAATTAGCACAGTAGTCTAATGTTATTTCCCTGAAATTTTCAGATCTCATTTTTCCAAAGTGCATAAGAATATGCAAGTTTCAGAAAGAACTAAATTTATAAATTAAGGGACTGTTAAGGTTCTCTTACCAGAAGCTAGTTATTCTGTTATATAACTTCATATATATTGCTTCTATATGCTTGTTCTATGGTTATCTTTTTTCATTTGCATAAGAATAAGTTCCTGCCTCTCATAAATTAAATAGCTGATGATTCTTGTCTTCAATAGTGATCATCTAATAGCTTGTCATCTTTGACGAAAGAGTTGTGCAGCAGCTAGCTAGCTAACTTCAAATCCGGATGTGAAAGATATTGGGTACATATAGCGGATATGCAACACTACCCAACAACTTAGGCTTTTGATTCAGAATGTAAGGGCCCGACTTGTTACACATATACAGTACTACATTGAGCTACATAACCTAAGTTTTGATCTTAGATTGTGGTTAAAGTAGTTTTTCTTTTCCTTTTGTGTTAATTTATTTTTAGGTAAAGAAAATACTTGTTTCGTGATGAAATAGCCACCTTAAATCATTGTGCTAGCTAGTTGCTCCCACATAAAATAGTTTAGTATGTTTTGACTCCTAATAAGTGTGTACTCCATGATTGAGACCTTGAAAATGCAAGATCTTTTTATCATCTGCTTCCGTAGTAGTAGAAAGATTTTAATTCTGAAGTATTTATTACATTAGGCTTTCTTTTGTAATTATTGTTACCATGCATATATATAATCTAGCCTCGAGTACTGCATATGTGCGTAAGCATTTGGATGATTTTATTTGATGCTTGAATTTTCAAAGAGCTCGAGTCAACATCCATCGGAAAAAATCTAGTGTAAATCTTTTATACGATGCTTGAATTTTCAAAGAGCTGGAGTCAACATCCATTGGAAAAAATCTAGTGTGAATCTGCATCAAAGAGGTAAATCACATAAGGTAGGAGGATACAGGAAGTTTGTTGAATGAGTAGATAGTTAAGTTGTCTGAGGCAAGTCCAGTTATATTTATATTGAATACTCGATGCCCTCAATAATGATGATCGAGCTACTTAATTATAGAAACAGAGCTCCAGTTTGGAGCGTGATGAGTTCGTGTTTTGGTGAATGAAATGATTATATATAGAAGAATTTGAATAGCGCGCTATACGTGTATAGACACACTACAAGAAAAATGATTATTTACAGCGAGGTATTTACAATATGCAAAATTACACCTTGTTAAAAGGAAATTTTATAACATGCTTGTTGTCAAATTGAAAACATGCAACGTTTTGAGCATGTTGTGAATGTAATTTGAAAATTTTTAGCACTAATTTTAATTCAATTTCCCGCGCACACATGTCTATTGCCTGTGTAATTCCCGCTGATATTTTCACTACTTGGTTTGACAAAAAAATAAAAATAAATGAAAAATATAAATTCAGTATATAACCATACACCCAAAACACGCACCCTGATAGTCGACGGATCGAAGCTCTAACCAGTACTGAAAATGTGTTTCTGTCTTTCCATCTAGCCATAACGTCTCTCTCCCTAAAGCTTTTGCAGTTGGACATCGAAGAAAACCCTAACCCCTAATGGTAACATGGCTCAAAGAAGAAACCCTAGGTCTGGAATCCTCCTTTGGAGATGCGAAGGTGTGCTAGGCGATTTACGGATGGCTGTTGCTGCTAGGTTTGTTTCCAATCTATTTCTCTCTATTTATACTAGTATATATGTGTGTCTGTGTGTTTGTACTTTCAGTCGATCCTTGATCACTTTGATCATTCGCTCCGCTCGTCATCTCTATTTCTATCCATCCCAGACTTAGATTGAGTTGCAGAGATAGGGGAAACCTCGGCAGAAGGGCTTGGCGCCAATGCATGAATTTGACTTTATCAATTTTGATTCTTATTTTTCTGATTTCATAATCAATATTCAAACTGATCTTGTTTTCATTTTTTTTTCTCTGTTCTTTATCAGAAAATTAATTAGTAATTATTTGGTTTTTCTCATATTCAATTAGGCACTTTGAATTGAAGCTAGTGAATGGGAATTTAAGTTTGAAATTTTGAAGATATTGGTTATTATGAATTTGGTGTTTCTCCATACTTCCTTATTATATTTATTTTTCTGATTTAGGGGTCTTAAAGCAAGGATTTTCAATTTTGGACTGCTATAGGACAGGTTGTTAAAATCGTGGTGTATATAATAATCTGCATGACAGTTAAGGAAAAATTGTTCATGATCAATGAGACAGCTTCTGAATGCCTCAGTTATCCCAATTAAAATGTTTTTTGAGTGACAAAAACTAAGAAAGCTGGTTTATAATATGATTGGATCTCTTTTTAGAGAATAGTTCTCAAAAAATTGAATCACTAGAGTATGAGTTTTAGAGAACAGCTTGAACAAGTTATCAGAGTTTTGGGAGTAGAGTTTCCATCTTTGAGAAAACACGGAGAACTCCTCCAACTTAAAATGACTGAACTTTCTCCGGCCGTTCAAAACATTGTCCGTTCCTCAGCCACAAATTCCCTTCTCTAGACCTACAAATCAACTCTTCCTCATCCCTCCCGGTACCTTATGTTTGACTCTCGCTACCTATCTTCAGCATCTACATGTAATAATCCATCCTTCTCTCTCAAAAATTTTTGGTTTTTTTTTTTTCTTTAAAAAATGCAATATTCACTCTAATCTTATATTCAATTTTGTAAAGATAGCTTCAATTTGCTTCTTTCTTTTTTTTCTTTTTCTTTCTCTCGTTCTATTGTCGATTTTGTTGGCTGAGTTTGCATTTCTTTAATGTCTGGGTTTCTCTTTTGTTGGTTGGATTTCTCTATTTGTATTCATGTAATATATATATATATATATATATATATATATATATATATATAACATCCCTAGGCCCTTTGTCTTGTAGACTGAGAACTCTTGGAGAACCTAAAAACGATGTAACAAATAGTTGGTCCTATTCAAAAAATAAATTGGCAGAATCCATCTTTATTTTTTTCCCCCCTTTTTGAGAACTTGTGAACATAGAACTATGGATTTCTTTTTCTTGTGAATGGAGAACTCTTGGAGAATGCTATGACTATATATAGTGTGTCAAATGTATATGTGATCTTTGTTTGCAAAGAGTCTCATCAGATCAAACCCGAGTATAGATCCTACAAGTGGTTCATATTAATTAACTATCTATTCATTGGTCAAAATGACAAGGTTATTGTTTTTTATGAATTACGAAGAGGGTCTAGATTTAATTCATTAAGGAAATGCTAGCCGTAGTCAAGTATTCTGAATTAAGTAAATTTTAGTGAAACAAGCAAAAGAAGTCGTGGCCTCATGGGATAGAATCACATATTTTTACAAGTGATGCTCCAACTTCTGTATAGATGATGCCATTTTTATCTATTTTTTTTCATGCCATCCTATGAAGGGAAGAAATATATGCTTGTACTATTGATTGCCTTTTAATACCACCCTCTCCGTTTTTTAAATTCATTTTCTTCTTTCTCTTATAGAGGCATAGCAATGCGATGAGATTGAAAATTTGATTCTGTTATTAATAAATTGCTCTTTGCTGCCTATATATACTTCATTTAGGGTTGAGAGGAATAGAGCTTTCTCCCTCCAAAAAAACTCGAAGATAACAGCACTAGTAACACTTGTTTGGGAGAGAGATGGAATTTGCCTGACAACATTTTCAGATAATTGTAGTGGTATTTTCCCTCTTTACTTATTCTTGATTTTTCATGTTGTGTGCTATTTTATTTTATTTTTGCCAAGTTTTGTTCCTTCAGTTGTTGTAGTGTAGTAGAGGATAATATTATAGAAGTGTAGTAGAGACATAATAGAATCTATCATGAATATAGTTATATATTCTTCTTGCTAGAATTTTGATTAAATTTTTTAATCTTTTGTGATAGGTTACTAGACAAAATAATTAAGCAAATGGTGATGGATAAAGAATGGATGCACATGACTTACAGGTTATTATATGTAGTGGAGTGTGCTTATAAAAGTTAATATTGTCTACACTAATTTTATGTTTAATTAGATGTTAAAGCTTTAATTTTATAGAGTTGATCCAAAGTATTTAGAAGGAGCACGGAGGTTTGCTGATCAGGCGCAAGCGAATGCAGGCCATCCAGAAAAGATTTTATGCCCTTGTAATTGTTGTCTAAATGCAAAGCACCAACACTTCGACATGGTGTTTAGGCATTTATTGGAAAATGGAATGGATCAATCATACACTATCTGGTACTTTCACGGGGAAAATTTGAGTGAATCTCTCCGACATGGAAGTGATGTAAATGACGTTGAAATGCCAGAGACGTATCAGAATTTCTATGATTCCAGTCTACGACAAAGGTCAAATACTATGCTTCTTTTATGATTGCACAATTTTAATGCTTTTTATACTCATACTTAGGGGGGTCACGTGCCTTTAAGTGTCCAATTTTGCAGTGTATCTTGAACTTTATTACCTTAATGGTACATCGGCCCGTGTGGAGGCCATTTTTATTTCTTGTTTTAAAATGTTGAAAGCATGGGAATATGGGATCAACGTATGTGGAGGTTTTGATTGATTGTTGTGGAGGAGAAGTTGTTGTTGATATGTTATTTATATCTCTACTTAAATTTTTTAGTTTTACATGGAATAGTAGTTTGTCTTTGCATGAAAATTTTGAAGCCTTTCCATCTATTATTGGAACCATACTTTAGTACCACAGTAGTAGGGTATGGACCATTCTAATTATTTATGACCCTATACTAATGAGCAGACATACCACGTATCATCAGAGATAATGAGAACCAATCCCAGAATTATAATTTATTTCAATCAGGCCTTATCATGAAAAATCATTCCTGAGCACACAAGTATGTTGCATCCCACATCTAAAAGGATTTAGACTAAAAAAATATCATACTAAAATGGGTCAGTAAGTCCAGATTATGCAATTCTCCTACAACTCAATAACACAAATAACAAAGTACTTTGATATCACAATCCACTTTTCGAACAAAAGCTCAGACAATACTAATGTTCCAGATAAGTGATGTTGGATCTTATTGATAAATTTACAAACCCTCATAAATAGGATAGACCCCAACGTAAGACTCAAGAACATTAAGTTCTCAAATGGATACAAATTCTCAAGTTATATTTTCTCTATAGCCACGTTTTATCATAATTTGAAGAAGTCAATCACTCTGGAAGAACCTTAATCTTCTTTCATTTTGATAGAAGTCCAAAAAAGGGATTCGTTGTTGCAGACTTTAACAAATTCCCAGCTGATCTTAGTACTTCCATGTCAACCTTGTCCCTAGGAAAAAATAAAAACTCACCTCCTTCATCGCTCTCGAACCCACAATGCTCAAGAAAACTCAATACCTTCTTTCAATTTCCCAACTCTAGCCTGTTATTTAGAACACAAATTAATCAGTTAGTTTGTTATGAAAGAGAAAATTCCATTAATTTGGCAGAACTTCGTAAACTTAGTAAAGAGTCACTGCTTGGTGCAACAGTAAATATTAAACAATCACTTGCCCAAAAGTCCCAGAAGCAATTGATTGTCCATCATGAATAATGAACAAGCCAGGAGCTAGATTAGCTTAAATGGATCCTCAAATTTATCAATCAAAGAGAGCAATCTGTTTACAAACTCTACATCAATTATGATGGTTTGAGGAAAAAGCTAGGGATGATGGTCAGCATAGTATGGCCAAATAAGTTCATGATAGACTCGCCATAAAGGTGCACACATATACACACAGTATATTTATATGCAAGTGAAAAAAAAGGAAAAAGAAAAAAGAAAAAAAAGACAATGCATGTATTAAGGTCGAATATCTGAGTTCCCAGCAGCTTTCAAATTCCTGGGCCAGATGTAGTTAGCTTTAATTGGTTACAAAGCAAAGCTCAAGTGTTGATTAATGATTAAGGACAATAAGTTGTGCAATATACCTACCATTGGCGCCCCATCCACACGTAATAAACAATCTAAAGTTGAAAGCAACCCCAGCTACCTTGTCAATTAATTAACAGTTTTGTCTATCGAATACTACAACAACTATTATTTCCACCATACATGTTTGTCCCCACAACAACAACACAACCTAGCTTAATTCTTTATTGTATAACGTCCATATGTCATCTTATGGTTGGATAGTGAATTATATATTGTGGAAGTGAAGCAATAACAATAAAATTTTGATCTTACTTGATAACTCAATCCAATACATAACGATGAATGAATTAAATGATTATGTAACAATTACTTGTGGTCTATACAACTCATTCCACCTACCTTACTTACAAAGCAATTCACCCCACAATATATAATGTAAATATATAAACATACCCTACATATTCAACAAATGTACTCTCATGGATGATGCCTATAATAAGAGCTCTTCCAATTTGATGCCAAAAACGCACACCTAATATGTATTTCTCATAAGGGTTTAGAATCAGAATTGAAGTAAACCTACAAAATTGCTGTTGTAAGAGACATTGTATTGATCATTGCAACTAAAAGCTAAAGCACATGCGACAACTACATACGTAAGACTATTGACAAAAAAAAGGGGAAATGCTAAATTATAGAGGAAGAGTACTTGCCAATTTGATACAAAATTAGATACGTGGCCGGGTCTAATGTTATTGAAACCCTCCCAACCACACCAGCAGTTCATAAAAAAAAAAACTCCCCCTCTTGCAATTCATTCGGAATTATAAGGATTAATTGTCATCTTTACCAATACTTTAGCATTTCCCATAAAATATTGTATTAGCTTCTGCTCTAGATCATAACTCTGCCCCAGAAATCCAGTAATTTCAATTTCTTGAAGACGAATAGACAGACAACAAGGCACCACTTCTGGTTCAACAAATTTGAAATCCCTGGAATCATTATGTTGACACTGCTACAAACAAAAATCAAAAGTTCAAATTCCATTTAATGATGAAGCTGCTCCAAAATGGGTCTTGCAACAATTAACTCCAACAAGAATGTTTCAGATTTGCTCATAATCATTGCACCAAAAACCTACAATGTTTCAGATTTGTTTCAGAATGTTTCAGATTTGCTCATAATCATGAGATGAAGAGACTACACATTATGATATTGTAGTGTTCATGAATATAAAGAGATTATGATATTGTCTGTTCTCATATATCCTTGCAAAAATCTAGTATTCAAAAATTATCTGCTTGAAATATTTTCGGCAGATCTAAGGAAGAAATTTTTAGCAAAATGTTTGTGTTTGATTCATAAATGATAATCTTGTTATTTCCCTTTTTTATTAGTATTCTGAAGTTGAGACTTGTGTGATGCAGCTATTTTTTTGGATTTTATACCGTGGATTTTGCAGCTACTTCCTTGGATTTTGTACAGTGAGGTGGTTTTCTGATAAGTGCAGACTGAAACTCAAGTGCTAGAAGGTTTATCAATTTTTCAACAGAAGTGTTAAGAGATTGATGATTTTCTTGACAAATGGATTTACTTCCTGTTTTGGAACATTGATAAATGTTGAATTGTTTTTTCACATTAATAAATGATGAATTGTAAAAATGTTTTAACTCTTTTGATATATTTAGTGGGATATGTTTTTTGAATTGAATTATAGCTGAAAGTGATGTCAATTATAGGTGTTGGATGATTAAATGGCATTAATTAAGATTGTTTTATTTATAAAAATATATATATATTTTTTACGGGGAGCTTAAAATCCCGTAAATAAGTGAAAATCCTCCTAAGTACCTTTTCTATGGCATACATGGCAAGTCGTGAGAATGATTTATATTATTTATGGGTACTTAAAATTCACTGCAGAAGACATTTCTATGGCATGCTTGAATGACTCGTGATATTATTTAAGGGTAGTTAAAATTTGCCTTAGAAAACTTTTCTACGGCATGTTTCTGTGCCCCGTGAGATTATTTACGGGTAGTTACAACTCGCCGTAGAAAAATTTTCTACGGCACGCGTCGGTACCTCGTGAGATTATTTACGGGTAGTTACAACTCGCCATTGAAAACTTTTCTACAGCAATTTACAATTCGCCGTAGAAATTTTTTTTTTTTTACGGCATGCACCGGTGCCTCGTAAGTTAATTAAATAAATTTAATATATATAAACAAAATTATTTTTACGGCGAATCTATTATTTTTTTACGAGATAGATTTTTTTCCGTAAAAAAAATTGAGTATTTACGGAACCCTCATACACGAGGGCCTAAAATGCGCCGTGAATAGGTTTCCACGGCATTTTTGGCCCCTCGTAGAAGCCATTTTTTCTTGTAGTGTTTGTATTTGCGTTGGTCGAGGCTGAATGAAGACCCACTTCCATTCATCCAAGCTCTGCCTAATTTAGGGAAGCTCTATCTTACAAATGCATATACAGGAAAGCAGTTATCCTTCGCTACAGTGTTCCACAAGCTTACAAGTCTATCATTGGGAAATTCCCCTCAACTGAATGAGATAACAATAGAGAAGGGAGCGATGCCAGGCCTCCAAGAGATGACTCTATATACATGTGGAGAGTTGAAGATGTTGCTGTGTGGTGTCGAATATCTCATGCGTCTTCAATAAGTGGGGTTGATGTCCATTTCGAGTGACCTCATAGAGCAAATACGTGGAAAAGAGAGCATGGATCGCTCAAAGGTTGCACACATCCCGATCATCAAACACATCTTCGAGTTACCACATGGGAGTTTCTACGAAATCTTGTCCTAATTCCATCTACTGCAAGAAGGTGAGACATTATCTGCTATGTGTTTCATTAAACATCAGTGCCCATTCCTTTCCTTGCTGTTCCCTTTTATCATTTGGACATAGTCCACAGTCTTTATTCGTATGTCAAAAAAATTGCTATCTAGTAAAATTTTAAATTTGTCACCGAGTAGGTTTTCTTACCTGTGATTTTTTTTTAAAAAATATTTATTGTCAATATATATATATATATATATATATATATATATATATATATATTTGTTCCCGTGTAATGCCTAGGTTGCGAGCCACGAAGAAGTGAAGGTGTTGCTCTGTTTGTTTGTAAGTTCATGATGTCCAAAACTGTTGCAGGCAATTGTCGTTGTCACTGTTAGACACGTGCATTTATTGCATGGTGGATTGTTTTTTACTCTCTCGATTTATTCATACAGTATTCTTATAGAGGTCCCATGCCTAACAAGTAGTAATTTGTGATTGTCTCCATTAAGTACACACCATAAAGACTTGTATAGGCGTGAATATCGTGAAATTTCTTTCTTTACTTTGGAGGCATTACTGGAGGTAATACGATCTACTTTTGAACTTGATAGCTTCTTGCCGTTATTGGTAATGTTTGTGGTTATGTTATTGTTGTTTTTTTTAATCTATGTTACTAATTTCAATTTTAGTGCCCCAACTCGTTCAAATATATTGCCTGATACAATCCATTTATGATTTGGTTGTGATTGATTTCTTCATAAATCCATTGATTCATAAGGATTATTAATTAAATTGATTTCTTTTAAGAGAGTGCAATGGGTTAAAGAAATTCGCTTTTTATACAAAGAATAAAAGAATTTTTCAGTGTTTATTTTGATATAAAATGATTTAAAAAAAATAGTTTTCCTGTTAAATTTTAGGCTCCATTTATTTGGATGTAAAATATTATATAGAAAATATATATATTTTTTATTTTTTTGGTGTTTGAGCGTGCTAAAATATTTATTAGGAAAATAAATATTAAAATTTAACAAAAATATCTTACACATCAATTTTTGCCAAATATTTTTATAACAAGATATTTTACGTCGAAATAAACACATTAATGTTTGCATATTGAATATTGTTTTACTAGTTAAACATTTTCAACCAAAACTCAAAAAATGAATTACCTTTTTACTCTCCACCAGCATCACCACCTCCCAAATACGACGACGATTTTCCCAGAAGCTCCTCCCTAGAAACCTTGTCAGATATAGTAGAGATGATTGGAAGCACAGATCCTCTAATTCATCTTTGACGAAGAGTTATTTATGGGATGTAATGGCACACCACCATACTATAATCTTTTACAAATGGTTATCCATTATGTTAATTTCACATATATACGTAATCGAAAACTTTGAGTGAGATGGGTTCGGTCATATTTTGGGGCCGGGAGAATTAAGAGATATATATATATATATATATATATATATATATAATGTGATTTTCAAATTATAAATAGAGCTCAGGCAGAAGAAAGATAATTATTAGATATCAAATAATTGAAGTAGCACTACCATTTTTTCAAGAAAAAGAAAAAGGAAAAACTTAAAAAGAAGAAAAGAAGCCCAGTTGATAAAAAGTATGGATGATAATTTATTTTGTCAAATTTTTTTTAAAAAGGAGTTTTTGAGATTTGTTAAAAGTCATGCTCTTATCATTAGAGATTTTTATTTTTCATTTTTTTGCATTACTCTAAATTTAATATCGTTTGTTAGTTACTATTATAATAGATTTGTGTGGATTTTTTTAAATGGTTGTACATTAAATTTAGAACTGCTATCATTATTGCACCAATGACACCAATCATTGAAGAGAGATGCAATTGAGATCACATCAACGTAGTACAATGATTTACTTTCGAATAATTCCAAAGACATATATAAATTAGACACGAAACTTCCTAGAAAGATCCTTTTGAATAATTCCAAAGACATATATAAATTAGACACGGAACTTCCTAGAAAGATCCTTTTGAATAATTCCAAAGACATATGTAAATTAGACACGGAACTTACTAGAAAGATCCTGTCACTGCTAATTTTTGTAACATTGCTTTATTAAGAACTTTTACACATTGGGCATTATTAAGTGACACAGGGTTGTTCGGTTAAAATACTTTTGGTTCGTGTTTTTTGGTTTTCGTTAGTTTACTATAGTGAACTAAAAGCATAAAACATATTTGATAGTGTTTGCAGTTAGTTTGTAATGTCCCGATTTTTTCTAAATTTTTTGATATTTTATTTTTTATTTAATTTTCGTATATCATTTTGCGCTTCATATGAGTCCGGATGATATATTGTATTTATTTAATTATTTGAACATTGATGTGTTATATATATATGTGTGTGTGTGTGTGGATGGTTAGTGGAGAGATTTTGTGGCATGTGGGTTGTTGTTTAAAGGAAAGAGGTTAATTTGGTCATTTACTAATGTTAGTTGAGGGTATCTTTAACCCTTTCACTCTAAAGACTTGAAGACCGGACCACACAATCACTCACTCTCTCTTTGGCCACATACACACTCCCATCTCCTGTAACGACTCACTCCACCACATGATATGATATTATCCGCTTTGGGGCTGAGCCCACACAGTTTTACTCTTAGGCTTTACCCTAAAACGCCTCATACCAATTGAAGTGACACACTTACATATAAACACTTTACCTTTCCTCTATCCAGGCGATGTGGGACTTATGCACCCATAACTCGCCAGTGTGGTAGCCTGACAGTGTCTCTCGCACCCGCCCACGGCACACCAGCCCACAAGGTCATCACAATCCACTCCCCTTGGAGGCCCGACGTCCCCGTCGGCACACTTCCGACTGGGTCAGGCTCTGATACCATTTGTAACGACCCACTTCACCACATGGTATGATATTGTCCGCTTTGGGCCTGAGCCAGCACGGTTTTACTCTTAGGCTTTATCCCAAAATGCCTCATACCAATTGAAGTGACACACTTACATATAAGCACTTTACCTTTCCTCTACCTAGGTAATGTGGGACTTATGCACCCGTAACTCGCCAGTGTGGTAGCCTGATAGTGTCTTTCGCACCCGCCCACGGCACACCCGCCTACAAGGTCATCACATCTCTCTTGTTCTTCATTTCTTTTTTCTCTCTATATCTCCACACTCTCTCTAGATTTTCTCTATGATGGAGTAAAAATTGTGAGGAGCAATAGTTAAAGAAAGTGTAGAGCTTGACAAGGGCTACGTTTTGGCACCGGTTTTGCTTGCATTTGGTGAATTTCGGATTTGGATCTTGAGTTTGGTTTGCATCTTTTGAGGTAGGGAAGTCTAAACTATAATGTTTTTGATCTTTGTGAGTTTTCTTCTCTGTGTATTGTCGAATAAGTATAATTATATGTTAAGGAATTGTTAATTGCAAGTTGGTGATCTTGAGAGGGTTGTTGCCTCACATGATTCATGTTATAAATATTATGATTTGATGTATTTGAATTAAAGCATGCTATGATGATGATGTTGTGTGTTGATTTCCTTGAGAAATGTTAAATGATTTGATGTATAGCATGCATATTATGGGCATTGGTCGGGTTTATGGGTTGGAAAGGATGTTGAAATGGTTTCCAAAGGTTTGTAAAGATCGATTTTGAAAGTTTTGAAAGATTTTGAAAAAAGTTTTGTGAAAACAGACGCCATGGAGTAACCATGTGGTTCGGGGTTAACTAATCTAGAAGGGGGCACGAGACGGATTGGATATGTGTAGTTGAACTACCTAGGCCCCAAATGACGCTAGGGAGACCCCCTAAGTCAGGGATAGCTAGTCAATTCCCTTCGTGACGCTTAGGAAACACCTAGGGTTGGGTTGTGTTAAAATTTTCAGTGTAGGTTGTGTTGTGA